TATATATATATATATATATAACAACAATAATACTTTTTTGTTTGGGAAAAAATAACAACTGGTATTCAATAACAAACGTGAAAAATATCATGTGAAAGATATTTATGTGGAGTTTTGCAGGTGCAGATTTAAATTATTCTCCTATTTTTAGAATATTATATAATCATTTTATATAAAAATGTTTTATATAATAATTTTTATTTATTTACTAGGTGTCCTTATTTTGCTCAAGTGCTTCACTTTTTGCATATTCTTCAGATTCTGCTTTATGTCAGATATATTGTATTCTATCTTATGTCACATATTGCAGACTATCTGATTGCCAAGATATAGACTGTTATATCTTTGTCTGTCATGCATTATGGGTTTATGGCTACTGATAAAGATTTGTAAAGGAGGTGCATTTATCAAATATAAAAAAACCTAGATGATATGTGACCCTGCCTGTGAAAACCCAGCTAAAGTCATTTTTTGTGATTTACTGTTACATAAAATCATCCTTCATAAAGATGTAGAACATTCTGTGAAAATATAACCTTTATATCTTTAATATTGAGTGAGTAAGGCCATGTCAAAGATTGAAATCATTGTGAATTTAATGGTTGAAATCAAACTTTGATGCTTGTTATCTCATAATTAGATTTTGAGACTTTAGCCTGGATTTCACAGACAGGGTCACATATAAAGTACACCAATAAACCTTTGGTCTCTGCAGAAGTTCACAGAAGGTTCAGAGAAATAGTTCAGCCAAAAATGAGATTTTCTGACCCTCATGTCAATCTAGACCCTTGTGAATCACATATATGGTCTGGTCTTTTCCATACAAAGAACTATGCAATATGTTATTTACTTCCTTAAAGAAATGAAACTTGCTGCTTTGGTTACAAGAAAGCGTCATGTTTTTCCACAGTCACACATTCTCCATTGGTCTTTGCTTGGCATTTTACAGTGATTCATATAAAGTTAAACTAGTGACGCTTATTTCTAGATTCTGAAAGTAACATTGTAAAGAGTAACATTCATTCTTTTATATTGTATCTCAGGGCGTCTATGGGACGGTGAAGCCCAAGGTTGACAGCACTGTACAGTTCGGGCAGAGTAAGCAAACACTCGCTGACACACAAACACGAATGAAACATGCTTTCTTACTGAACCTTTTCAATAAAATGACAAAGTGAATCTTTGCACTGTAATCTAGACAGTTATGCCTACTTGAAGAACCCTCCGCCTGAGTTTTACCCCAGAGCCGGAGTCATCGGATTTGCCGGGATCCTGGGCCTTTTCTTCGGGAGAGGTAGTGAAAGTTTTAATGATAGCATTGGAGCCTGCATTTTATTAAAGAGACCAAATACACTGCAAAAATATTTTCTTCCTCAATTTTGTCTTGTTTTCTACTATCAATATCTAAACATCAAATATCTAAAAGACATTTACTCAAGATGCAAAATTACTTAAAGGGGTCAGAGGATGCTACATGCACTTTTACAAGTTGTTTGAACTGAAATGTGTGTTGGCAGTGTGTGTACACAACCACCCTATAATGATAAAAATCCACCCAGTGTTTTTTTTTTAATCTACTAAAATCTTTACCCCTTTCTCAAATCGAGCCGATCTCAGATGCCTGTCTGTGTGACGTACACTACCATTGAGAAATTTTAACCAAACTATGTTACAGACTTTTCATTAAGACCCTAAAGAATCAAATCAATTTGTGGAAAATGGGCATCCGATGACCCCTTTAAGATATTAAGTCTTTTTTTGTGCTTAAAATAATTTTAAAAATCTGTCAGTGGGCTTGGAAAATTAAACTTAATTCAAAAGGAAAACAAGATTATTTTTCTGACCTCACTGGCAGATATTCTTTCTTATTTTAAGCATAAAATTGCTTAATTTTGATACTTTTTGTGAAAACAAGACTGAATATCTTAAGTTATTTTCCTTCTAAAGTATCTTGATTTAAGAATCTTTCAAATTTTTTGTGGAAAATGAGACAAAAATACTAAGCCTCTCCTAAAACCTGAATACTATTTATTTGCTTTATTGCACACACTGATATTTCAGATACACTACCATTCAAAATTTCGGGGACAGTAAGATTTTTTAAAGGGGTCATATGATGCTTTTTTAAAGATCATTATTTGGTGTATTTGGTGTAACAGAATATGTTGACATGCTTTAATGTTCAAAAAACACATTATTTTTCAAATACTGTACATTATTGTAGGTCCTCTCTCTCCCGCCTCTCTCAAACGCTTCGTTTTCTACAAAGCCCCCTCCTTCCAAAGAGAAAGGAAAACTTGAAATCGCATCATATGACCCCTTTAATGTTTTTGAAATAAGTCTCATCGGCTCACCAAGGCTGCATTTATTTGATCAAACATACAGTAAAATTGTAAAATATTACTACCATTTAAAATAACTTTTCTATTTGAATATATTGCAAAATGTAATTTATTTCTGTGATCAAAGCTGAATTTTCAGCATCATTACTCCAGTCTTCAGTGTCACATGATCCTTCAGAAATCATTCTAATATGCTGATTTGCTGCTCGAGAAACATTTCTGATTATTATCAATGTTGAAAACAGTTGTGCTGCTTCATATTTTTGTGGAAATGGAGATACATTTTTGTTTTCAGGATTCTTTGATGAACAAAGTTCAAAAGTACAGCATTTATTTAAAATATAAAAATTTGTAACAAACGTCTTTACTGTCACTTTTGATCAATTTAATGTGTCCTATTGAAAATAAAACTTTTGAATCAAACTTTGGAGTCATTTTTAGGGATTTTTTTTTGTCATTTCAAGGCTCCAGGCTGAAGAAACTGATCTACCCGACTGGTCTAATGGCTGTAGCTGCGTCCATGTATTATCCTCAAGAGGCCGTGACCGTCGCAAAGGTAGGTGTGTCTTATAAGTTTATTGGCTGTAGGGTTGTGAGAAGTTATGGGGCCTGGAAACGAGAGGAGGGAAAGGTGTGGCGAGGTTACGATATGTAACTTTCCACTAGTTAAAAACAGCAGATAGAACACATTCCTAACAACACCCAAGGACACAGAGAGAAGCTGCATCAACACTTCGTCTAATATCAGCCGGTTGTCTGTTTTGATTGTAACCAATATAGACTTTGCAGTGGCTATCTCTCGCCTCACACGCGTCCTGCTCAAACCCTGTCAACACCGTTTCAGCGCTGCATGTCCCCATCCTGTCAGATATGCTGATGGAAATGTCCTGAAAGATCAGCAGGGTCACTGATTAAAGAGCAAAACAGCCCAAAATTAGGTTGATTTCACACTCGGTTTGAACCAAAGTTCAAATTCAAGGTGTCAAGTTTAAGCTAAATCATAGGCCAGTTTGCTGGTAGACACAGGTAACTACACTGTCTGGCCCCAAAATGCACTACACTTTCTTCATTAGCTATTTTGACTAAATACAGCTTTTGTACGTGACTTATAAATTGGGGATTTTCCATTATTATAATAGATAATATATCAGTGCCCATATGTTGGCATTAAGAAAAAAAAACACAATGGACCAGACTCAGGTCTGCACCAAAAGAGTACATTCTCATATACAGTGTTTTTCAGTGATTGAAGTCATTCATTTTGAGCGACATTGTTAATTAGCAATGCTATATGGGCGTATTATATTATAGGCAGAGACAAATCAGTAACGGCAACATAAATTTCTGCATCTTTTCTACATTCAAATACAGTATCTTATACAGCAAAAAGTGACTTTCTTCCTCAATATTTGTTGTTTTCCAGTAGAAATATCTTAACATTCTTAAATCAAGACACATTTACTTAAGTGAAATAGCATATATGGTATCCATCCATCCCTCCAAACCACTTATGCTTTTTAGGGTTGTAAGAGGGCTGGCGCCTAATGAGCTATTAAGTCTTTTTTTCAGAAAAATGTATCATAATGAAGCGAGTTTATGCTTAAAACAGGAAGAAGAAGAAGAAAATCTGTCAGTGGGGTCAACTGAATTTAAAGGGAAAAAGTTTACTTACCCAGTGACAGATTTATTTTTTATTTTATTATTATGATTATTATTATTATTTTCATTTAAGAATGAATCCAGATAATTAAGACACAGTTTCAGAAAATATTATTATAATAATGGTTTTTGTTTTTAAATTTTAAATTTTTTAAAACCTTTTTACATATATATATATATATATATATATATATACACACACACACACACACATATATATACACAAAAATAAGTAAAAATAAAAATGCATGAAAAACACTATTTAAATACATTTAAAAATATTTATATATATAACTGCATGAAAAATGGCATGTATTGTGAGTTTAGCTCATCCTGTTCATAAGATTATGAACAGGATGATTATGCACTGCTGAAACACATTAAGCATCAAATTAAAATATTTTTACTGGCAATGCATCACATTTAAGACCAGATTTCCAAACGCTGTAAGCAGTTGTGTAGCCCACCAATAACACGAGGGCATTCAGCAGTAGAAAAACACACTATGACAAATATATCTACTTCCAGCAATAAAATCTGTGTGTGTGTGTCCCGTCTCTCTGAAGTGACCCTTATAACCTTCCCACAACACAGAACACAGGAGACACCGTATACGACTGGGCTCTTCAGGCTTATGTTGCTGTGGAGAAACTCATCAAAGGCAAACCTGCCTCAAAGAAAGTGAGTTTGGTTCTTCTCACAGACTTTTACATTCATGCATTTGCCAGAAGCGAACTTTTATCCAAAGTGACTTACATTGCATTCAAGGTTTACATTCTTTGCATTTCCTTGGAATCAAACCCACAACCTCTACCGTTTGACCTACAGATAGCATTTGAACACTGCAAATATTGGGTTTGGAAACAGCCTGAGCGCTTTTTGTTTTGTGTTTTAATAGGATCAAGCTGAAAAGAGTTCCAGCGGGGAGACCAAAGCTTAGGTACAAAATATCAAAGATCATAAACAGCACGGAGACACAACACAGGTGCACACAATGTACAAACAACATTACTATAGTCACATCAAATCCTTTCCCAACTCTGTTTGCATTGCACTAAAGATATATATAAAAAAAATTAAAAAAAAGGATTTTTTTTTTCTCACTAAAACCTGTTAGATCACAGTACAATTGCCAGATTATCTTTTTTGGTGAGTGTTGTACGCTAAAATGCACTTTTTTGAGTCATTTTTGCATTTTGTCAGAATTTTTTTGTGGATGAAGTCAGTTCTCACAGGTGTCCAGCAGATGAACCACATGTGTAGAGAATCACATTAACTAGCAACATCATCCAATAACAAACACAATACATGTTTTTAGTTGTTTTGTTGAAATCTTTATTTAAAATAAATGCTACTTAGTTTAATATTTTGCCATTCAGACATTTTAATATCATGCATTAAGCACTGCTGAAAAGCAATGCAATTTAAGCAGAAATAAATGTATCTGCTGTGAGAGTAAAATGAAATGTTTTACGGCAATGCATAAACACAATCCCTTTTTTGTCTCATGTTTTTACTGTAAATCTTTATTTGCATTAGATAAAATAAAAACTATTTCAAATTATATATTAAATATATTTCAAATATTATATAGAATTGAAAATATATTTGATTTAAAATGCCACAATGACATTCAGACATGTTTATTTTCTCAGAAGTCCTCATGACTGTGGTTTGCTGTGCTGTTTGTTTACAGGTTCATCATCACCTCTCAGGTTGTTTCTCTGACAGAGAGGTTGTGGTACAGGATCTCCATCCTTCGCTCATCTTCATGACCTACTTTTGCACTAGCCACTTCCTCTTTCATCTGTCAATCATCAGACAGGAGTTAGTGGTCTGACTGTGAAGTTCTGAACTTGAAAACAAACTACTGAGATTGTATTAAAAATACATTGGTGAACCAAAATAAATGTTATATACTATGTGATGATGGTGGTGTGATTTATGACTGAAATAAAATAATTCTACAAAGTTAGGAGGAAATGTTAACTTTATTTGGGGTTAGCATGTTAATGTCAGCGCTGTTTGTCAGTCTGAACTTCCTCTTCCTATGCAAGCACAAAAAAACCTGCCAACTGCAGCAGTTAAACAACCTCTGAGCTAGTCTAGATTTAAACATCAGCTCATTTCCAAACAGCATCACACGATTCAAATATTTCCTGAAATGATGAAATCATTGTCTTACTGGTGAGAAGAAAGTATAATTTTGCATGCTGAATAGAAGGAAGCCTAAAGTCAACATGCAATCAAAATTCATATGTGTATTTGGAAGTGGGGAAACCCTGAGGTTAATGAACCAAAACGTAAGAGTGTTTCTTTTATAGAGGACAACAAGAGTTAACATACTGATCCAACAGAACTTTCAGTCAGTCTCTTTCTCAAAGTAGAAGCTTTATTTATTGAACAATACATTGCATGTGTAATCAACAAAGCAGACAACAATAGTTGTGCTCATAATCCTCCTCTATTTGAGCGTTTACTCCTGCACCGGCGTCTACTTGGATGTCATCTTGAGCAGGTTGCGCTTGTCAATCTCGTACAGACGCCATCCCTCCTCGTGCGAGAGATCGGACGCTCCGCGCCGCTTGTAGAACTCGATGGATGACGTGTTCCACTCGGCCACGATGAAGTGCATGCCGCTGCATCGAGCCTTCACTGCCGTCTACAGCCGTGACAGAGACAAAAGCAATCAAGTACTTGTCATTTTCTCAGCTTTTGAAAAATGAAATTAATATTTCAATCGGGGGTCTGCCGATTGTCACACCTTTTGCACGGTGGGGAAAGCTGTCATTTGCTGATTGGTCAGTTTGAATGTCTCATATTTGGTTTTTAGTCACATGGTCAAGGAAGGGAGAAAAGAAGATTGTAACTCGGTCTCTTTTCTTGGCTGGCGATCTCTCTTCTTCGCTGGGGCTCTGCTCTCTCTCCCTCTATCTCTCTCTGGTAACATTTTACATTCATTCTGGGTACATTTAACTGTATATGTTTCATCATCCTTCATCTATTTTGTAACCAATTCAAGTGTAACCATAACAAAATAGTGTTATTAAACCATTTCAATTATAAATGATGTGCTAACTAGTTTTGATTCAACGTTAACATTGAAGCACTACCTACTTCAATATAATAGTCACACAATAGCAACGCTCTCCCACACATTTTGCTATTCTAACTGCGCTTATTTCTAGGGCTGTGTATCGGCAAGAATCTGGTGATATGATACGTATCACGATACAGGGGTTGTGATACGATATATTACGATACTGTAAGCAAGACGATATACTGGGATATTTCTTATTTTAGAAATAGGAGAATAGGATATAATTTTAGGAAAACTGTCATTTAGAACAGACCACCATATGCAAACCTTAGCAAAAGTATATATACATATATATATATATATATATATATATTAACCAGAACACAGTGGCATCTGCATTTGCATTAATCTGTCCCTGTAACATTCAATGCTATTGAGCCACTTTTTGTGCAGTACGAATAAAGGGGGAACAATTAAGTGCTTGCAGGAGTCAGATTTGACTGATCATGGGTCGAGAGGAGGGATGACCTACAAGACCATGGTGGAGGATCTGCTACTCAGCAGATCCGGAGCTCATTGACAAATATCTTATATCGTAAGATGCGCTCCTTTTACTCAGAGTGCACGTGATCGCGAAAGTGAACAGTGCGATAGTAATATATTTATATATAAATATTCTAATAAATAAAATATAATTATATGAAATAATAACAATAATAATACATACATATAATTTAGTTAATATAATTAGAAAAATATATACAGTATACTAATATAAAATTTAGTAATCCTCCACTTTCTTTCTTTCTTTCCAGCAGTGATAACAGGTGGCATCACTTCATACCTCTGAACTCCTTCATCACATAGAAGTCCTCCAGATAAAGCAGCTTCCCAATCCAAGGGTCATAGGTGAAATAGTACATAGCAAAGCCAACTACTGTATAACCTGATGTGGAAATCATAAAGAGAATCATAAAGAGGTTAAAGAGAAGAGAAAGTGAAGAGGAAAATGTCCGCACTCTGATTCAGCGGCTATGACGTCACATCGAACGCATGACGCAGAAAGATAAACTGTAACAATTCCATCATGAATCGAAGCTCAACTGTAACAATATTGTATCCATGATATAAACAGGTTTTTGTATATATACACACACCAAAATTATCATTTATGTTTTTGACTTGCCTTCAATGGACTGTTTATCTTTCGGTACTTCAGCGACGACGCAGTGATAAAACGGATGATCTCCGAAGCCGTCCTCGAGCAGCTCTGAGAAATAAACAAATTATCATCATATATTCATATAACGTTACCTTCATATATTATACTCGGAACTCACTTTAAATACCGAATAACGGTCTGTACCTTTCTCGGTCAGGACGACCTGTTCCTCCATTTCCTCAAACTTTGCAAGTTCCTAAAATTAATGAAACATCGTAAATAAGCCTATTTCGCAAACATCAACACGTAAACATTTTCTACAATCATTTATAAATTTGAAAAAAAAACAAAAAAAAAGACGCATGCGCCGTATTTGTGTACCTTTATGAGTCGCAGTATGTCTGACACGTCCTTGGGCTCGGCTTTCCGTAATATAAAATTGGCCATTTTCTTCTTTTACTCTTCTTCCCTTTTCTTACTAGTCCTCTGTATGTGAAAAGTAGTAAGATTTGTTTCTTCATTCGGTTCTAAGGGGGCTACCCTCAGCAGAAAGTCCGGGTTTCTCACCCTGTCAGCGAGGAATTACATGAAGTCTAAAGTCGCTGTGAGCGCTTTGTCCGAACACCGAGTTCCAGCGCTATTTATAGACGGAGCGCTGACGGACAACTGACAGCAACCGGAAGCGGATATTGTAATGTGTCAAAGCTGCTAATTCAGCCAAGGAAACATGAGACACTGGTTCTGTCCTTTTATATTTCAGACTTACAACTTGTTTTAGTTGACTCTTGTTTTGGCACTTGAGAAAACACAAACCACTGCTTATAAAATATTATAATTGAGTAATTAAAATTAATAAATTGTGTGTGTGTGTGTGTGTGTGTGTAGCTAGATTTATAATGCAATTTATTAATTTAGTATAAATTTATTAATTTAGTATTAAGTATAAATTTTAATTCCACTGTTAACACAACAATTTGAGTGAAAAATGTAACTTCTAACAAAATATTGTAATTGATTGTGTTAATAAATTGTAATATAAATAAATAAAGAATAATTAGTCAAATAAATAAATACAAGTAAAATAATTATTAAACGAATAAATAATATAATAATGAAAAAAATAATTAATATAACATATATACGCAACTAATATTATATAGATGAATAAATGATTATTATAAAATTTTTATTATGCAAGTAAAGAATGTGACAATATTATAACATATATATACACAAGTAATATTAATTATATATTTATAATTTCATTTATAATACAATTTATTACAAATCAATTACAGTAGCCTATTTATTATAGTATTTTCAGTAGACAGATTAATTAATTCCTTTTAAAGTTAAATCTTTTTAATTATAACTTGACTGTTAGCACAACAATTTGAACTAAAAGTTAAATGGAAAAACTGACATGAAAATCTGATGACCATGTTGTCCAGCACAAGAAATATTCCTATATTTCTTAATTTAATGTTTTAACCTTTAATTGTGTAGCGAATCAGCTCATGGGGAAATATGAATAATTAATCATAACTAGTTATAATTAATTATAAATATTTAGATCCGCTGTAGATATTTACTTGACCTCTCAGGGTCAACTGTCAAATATTTCAAAGTTGGTTTAAATTGAAGATTTAAATTAGATTTTCAGTGTGGTTTTAGACTTTTGGACCATATCAAAGTACAATAGCATCGTCACATACTCACACTGCGTCCCAGTTCATGTTCTTGTTCTCTATTCTGTGCTGTTTTTTTAGTATAAATATTTTAGGTTATGAGTGTGTTCGCACTGAAAAGTCAAAAAAAGTGCACTTCAAATGTACAGTTAAATAACCAGAAAATCTGCCAGACACCGATGTTGGATGACAAAATAACCTTGTATAGTTCATAAACTAGACGGTTGAAGTCATTTGGGACACAACTACTATTATTATACCACCATAATACTTTTTTATAGGGACCTGAACACTGGAAGTTGTTTTCAAACAAAAACAAGAATGCTATTTGACTACAGTGCAAAGAGAAATACAATCTCTTTTGCATTACAGCTCATTGGGTGTCATAACCTCAAGCCAAGGAACCATATATTTAACTTTTTGCACAAAAGCCTGTTGCCTAACATAACTGTGCAATCATCTGTGTGATCATAGGCCTGCGTTCTGTTAGTTATGATGTTTTCATGCTTTGCTCATTATGATTGATGGCAAAGGGTTTGCTCTGCTGTATAATCAATCTCTAGATAACCAACATCACACCTTTTTACCTCCAACTTCATTTTAGTTGCATGTGCATTTAAGCTAGATTTTCTAACATATAAATTAATACTCACATACTTAGTGTGCAAACTACACTCTAAAAAATGCTGGGTTGTTTCAACCCAACATTGGGTCAAATATGGACTAACCCAACTGTTGGGTTAAATTTTTACATACAATTTTTAACCCAAAAGTTGGGTTAGTCCATATTTGACCCAAAGTTGGGTTGAAACAACCCAGCATTTTTTAGAGTGTAACGTGTTTAAATCATCAGCAAAAGCAACCACAGAATATGAGATCAAACGCTGTCGGTTCATTCACAGGAATAGAGCAGGAGGAAATTGTTATATAACATACATATTATAGACTTCGAAGGCTAATGCATTGTTGGGTGAAAACAGGATAGATTAAAATAATATTCCCATATTTGTCTCTTGCATTCAAACAAAGGATGCCGATGAGGCTTTGTTTTTTGATTTGGAGAAGCTGTTGCTATTTTTGTCAGTGTGTCTGCTTAGAAATATGAAACAGATCTACTTTGGATTAGCGGCTATTGATAAACAGCCTAAGAGAGATTGATGTCATTATTAGATATTGATTTGCAGAGGCAAATATCATGCATCATTGCTGTGTGTGCAATTATAGACATTTCAAATGCAGAGTAACCTTAAATAACTTAAGAATAATATTAGGCTTGCTTGATTAACAATGCATCATTTTTAGAAAAAGCATGTTAAAATGTGAGTATCTAATATGATCATCAGGCTTTTGAGGAACGCTTATTTGTTCATCTTTCAATCATCATTGTTTTGCATTGCATTATATTTTTAGATCATCAAAACTAAGCATTTAAATATCATCTTACTACATATTATTGGCAGATATACAGAGTGATGACTGATATTTATATCATTTTAAGTAAGTATCTGCTATAATGTTTTAAAGATCTCATTGATTTACATTACAAGCATCGGAATTTCATCATATAAATATCAGCATCTGCACCAAATTGCATATTTTTGCTCAGTTTGGGTATTTAAAAAAAATTTTTTTTTTTTTCCTCCTTATTCTCACTATATCATTCTATACGAGTCATAAAAGCCTGATGTGTTAATATGACATAAAACATATATACAAACTTTTTAAATATGTTTTTAAATTCCCGTAATTTTTCTGACTATCATTTCATATGTCAGGCTTCACAGGGTTAAGAAAACTACTCTCTCTGAACATGTACAGCAGCCGGTATCTCAGCACAAGCATCTCTAGTGTTTATCCGGTTCCAGTTTCAGCCCCTGAGCCGGACTGTATTTGTGAATGGGATATAATCAGCACTGACTCATTCACATCCGCTCTCAGCTGGAACTCTTGTCTGAGAGACTTATGGGAGGTTTCCTCTGAGGATATGAATACTGAGTCATTTCCAGTCACTTACGCTTTTTTCTTATATCTGGAAAATAAGGTATAGACCTATTGAAAAAGTTTTAATAAACAGCTAAAGGCGTGCGGATGTCTCAGAGTTCGCCGGGCAGGAAGGCATTGTTATTTTCACAACTTTGTTTCCTTTAGTCTAGACAAACGCACAACTGAAACATTCAAGAAAGAAGAACCTCATCACACACTGATGAGTGTTTAAGATAAACCATCTCTTGAGTTTAATTACAGTGTTTAGTTAAACAGAACAATCGCAGTGTCACATTCCTGCAGGAGCAGCACATGCAATAATGGACAGGCCTTTTACGAATAAGCATGTAATTCTCATTCAGTTTGGCTCTGACAATGTTTGGTAATGTCTCAGGAATTTTTCAGAGAGCATTGCACTCCCACTTCACACATTAACAAACAACTGCCTGTAATACAGCTGGACTGAGCAATGCTTGCAACTGTAATACTGTTAGATGTTTGTTCAAATCCAAAGTATGAGCAAACACCACTAACTTACCTTTACATTTAATCTTTTAGCTGATGCTTTTATCCAAAGCAACCTATACAAATGAGGGCCAACAAAAGAGCAATAATGTAAGTGCTGTGAAGTCTCGGTTAGTCTAATGCAGTGCACGTAGCAAGGTTTTTATATATATATATATATATATATATATATAAATTAACAGAATAAAAAGTAGATAGAAAAGAAGTATCCTCAGCTTAACAGAGCTGCTCACACATACATGTGACCAAAAAACTAAAAAGAGAAAAGAACATGTTTTTTTGGAAACCAGTTAAAATTTTAAAGTTAAATTTAGAACCATAGCATCCTGAAGAACGCTTTTATGCTGAAATGTTTTTTTTGTGTGTGTTAGAGTTTAGGGTTCTTTATTCCTGCCTTTTTTTTTTT